AGGAAAAAGAGATCAATTTTAAACTAAGCCCATTTTTAATTCATGTTACATTAAATGTAGTTTTCTACCTAAAAAAAGAAATTCTATGGCAAGTTAACTTCCAATATCTCTTCTTAAATTCCAGAATGAAAAGCAGCTAACAAGCAATCCTCAGTACTGTTGTTTTGGGGTTTTTTTTGTCTAATCACCAAGTGGTTTAGTGTCTAACAATGAACAACTTGAAGCGTGAGGAAAGCTATTTAGCAAGTAATCCCTTAGTTTAAGGCACTTGTTTGCTTCCATGAGCTCTACGCGCTATTTGCAACACTGGTTTGATTGCAACACTGGTTTGATAGCAACACAATCCCATGTAGGACAGGAAAATCATAACCTTAGCACCTAGGTTAGACAGAAGACTTTTTTGCTCAACCAAAAAGTTTTAATATGTAAGGGTCTTGTAAGGGTCCAGGAGTAACTTAGCTATTAGATGCTGCTAAGCTCAACTCCATATTTGTATTTTCTTGAGGCTTAATTTGCCAATACAACCATATATACATGCTTTCAATGGTAAATTGAAGTTACCTAGAGCAAAATAAAAACAGAATAAAGCTGTGGCATCTCTGTAAACAGTTGTATTAAAGATACTCTGATTACATAAACAGTTTTGAGAAGTGATGTACAATAAGCTACCCTTGCTATTCTGCATCTTGAGGAAAACACTCAGTACTTAGGGGAGGGAGTGATTTGGCAATGCGCATCAAGAAGAGAGGATCCTACTTCGTCCTGTGCAGCTCAGCTTTGCAAATGAAAGACCAAGGTACGCGTGACAATATAAAGCAGTAGCAGGGGGGTAAGGGAGAGGAAAGGTGGGAAGCCTTTCACAGTTAAGGAAGCCACTGAAAATAAACACACCATGTTGCACTTCACTGACAAAACTATTCTATTTCTGTCATCCCTTCAGAGCCAAAACGCCTATTTAGGACAGGAATGGGTTCTAGTCAGCTGTTCCTCAACAAAGTTGTCAACTAAGATGTAATGAGAAGTCATCATTACTAGCGATGGAAAAATATGGGGAGTTTCAGATCACAGGATGGAATTGCTGTGCGTTAGGAAAACAGCCTTTTTGCCTTCTAAGCCAAACACACGAACGTAAAAAAATAACAGGTACTGGGCTTCTACAAAATGTATTTTACAGACGTGCTTGGGGAATTCTCATTTTTCTACCGCAGTTTATTTTCTGGTGGTCAGAAACATTCAAAGTACTGATCTGAATCCCTCCCTCTTCTAGAAGTTTAGCACTGAACATCCGACTACACAGTCTCATCTGGCTGAACCTGGGCCAACTAAAATAATAACTGAAATAATTCCTCTGAGTCCTTACCCTTGGTTGTGGTTACTGTTATTCCTACAGACAATGGCTGAGCACTTACGTGAGTGCTCCCTAATGTCTTTCCCCTGTTTGACAGCTTAAACAACAGAACCCTGCTGTCTAACAGATTGCTTCTAACAAGGAAAGCTGTGACAAGCTCCAAGGCTGGGCTTGGGGATAGTAACCCTTTGAGCCAAAATAAGGATAGCATCAGGGTTTGCTCAGCCCTTAGGCTGTGAGACTCCAAGGAAGTCTCAGCCACATTCTGGGGTTTGTTGGTTTTTTTTTTTTCCCCCTAATGGAAACTGCTACACTATCTAATAAATCCTTTCCTTAAAGATAAGTTAATTTGTTTAGGGTCTACAGAGCTGTCACCTCACCTGAGCCATAACTTTAAAAGAAATTTTCATGAAATGAAATGCTTTATAATTTAATCTCTTTTTCTGTCCCTTTCTTGTGATTTATGTGGTCTTTCGCCTGGCAGATACACTTCAGTAGGATCATCTCACCCAAATTGAGTATTTCATAGCAGTATTACTGTCATGCAGTCACAGTATTCTAGTTACAGTTCTATACAAAAGGTAAAAAGACTGGTGTTTAAGTTTGGATGCCGATTCAGACAAATTCTTCCCCCAGTCACAGTGCTGACTGTTTTCCTATTCAGTTTTTCAGAACTATCTAATCTCAGTACATTGTGAAGTAAAGCATCCAGTCACTCACTTTTCAACAACTTTGGAAACTTAGAAGTTTGTCAGCTCTCATCATACACAGATGTATGCAGAGAGAAAGGCAATACATACCCTGCTGCTTAGCACTTTTATGCTCGGAAGAGTCCCACAGACTGTAAAAACCAGAAGCAGCACAGCACTAGTCTGGGTCCTCTTAAGTGATTAATAGTGAATGCCTGTTCAGCTATAGTAACATAAACACTAATAACTACCAGGCAAAATATTAAATTTGCTATGAAAAAATAATTAAAATACTTTTTTACATTGAGTGGTATCCATGAATTGTGATGTTGCTGCCATTCTAATATATAAGCCCCTACATAAATGTAAAAATACAGTGAAATTCAAGTTTTTCCACTGATCCCTCCTGTCTACTGCTTTTATATGCTGCACTGTATTTTAATACAGTATTTTACTACATAAGGTTTTTATGAAGGTTTTTTTCAGCAACACAACCATAGCTCAATGTAAACTGGCATCTTGCATTTCCTCTTTTGACAAATGTTTATTCCGTGTGCAATGCATTATATAACCTTGCTCTAGTTTCCTGGCTTTTATCCGGAGGCACAACCTATGTTTAAAGAACGTTGCCCATTCTCTAATATCGTGTTTTACAAAACGTGGTATACATTTCACAGGATTCCTGAAACGCACTTTGTCTCAGAATTATGATCTGTATTACCCAAGGTATTGACAAAGCGAGGACGAATTGAACGCTGCCGTTATTAGTAGTTCAGCTCGAACAACTCAAGATGGTAGCACAACCGACAAGCCAAGAGGGCAGGGCAGAACATCATGTCCACTCTGTCACTCCTCGGCCACCTGCAAGCTTGGCACGGCCAGGATGGGCAGAGCCAGGCAAAAGGGTGCGTGCCATCCTTCGGTGAGGATTTTGGAGAAGCGTCTCACGCTACGCTCCCGCTTCTCCTCATGAATGCTAGCGCCGGGTATCTCCATCTAAAACTACCCTGTACTTTGCCCCGCTCTGCGTTAGCGATCTCGGACCATCTCCACAGAGCAGCAGCGTTAACACCGCGGAGGCGGCCGCCCCGGTT